GTGAAGTTCCTGGGTAGGATAGTATCAAAGGAGGGTTATACAATGGATCCGACCGAGCTTGCTCCAGTGCAGGCATTAAAAGATCGCAAACCGGAGACAGTGGGAGATGTGAGAAAACTGCTGGGATTCATTTCCTATTATCGCCCATATATCCCAAATTTTTTAAGAATTGCCACTCCTCTTTATAGCCTACTATCGTGTGGAAAGACATCTAAGAGCAGGAAATGTGACCAAGCTGTGAGTAAAGGTGGTGCAAAGCAGAAGAAAGTTGACCAGTTACCATCCCATCAGCGGGTCTCCTGGACAGGACAGCACCAGGAAGTCCTTTGCAAACTCATTGAATTTCTCCTTAAACCACCCCTCTTGGGCTATCCAGATTTTGAAAAGCCATTCGTGCTTCATTGTGATGCCTCTCAGGAAGGACTTGGTGCAGTACTGTACCAAAGGCAGCAAGGGAAGTTGAAAGTAATAGGCTATGGGTCAAGGACGCTAACTCCACCAGAGAAGAATTACCATCTTCACTCAGGAAAGTTGGAGTTCCTGGCTCTAAAATAGGCTATATGTGAGAGATTCAGAGAGTATTTATACTATGCACCTTCGTTTGTTGTCTATACAGACAACAATCCACTAACGTATATCCTGACCACAGCAAAGCTGAATGCCACCACGCACAGATGGGTGGCTGAGCTGGCTGACTTTAATTTTTCTATCAAGTATCATCCAGGTAAGACCAATGGAGATGCAGATGGCTTGTCACGCATGCCCGTGGACATGGAGCAGTACATGTGTTCATGCTCACAGGAAGTGCAGCCCAGGGTGATTACAACTTCAGCTCGAGTCCCAGGAGCACACTCCTTGGATGTGCCCTCTCACTATTGTAACAGCATGGGCAGAGGGCAATCAAGAGCGAACAGCCCCACCAATAGCACAGATTCCCTCAGAAGACATCAGAAAAGCCCAAGAGCTGGACCCAGTCAATAGCAAAGCGAGACAGTATGTCATGACAAAACACTGGCCAACCATGCAAGGGAAAAATTGGCGTAATGAGGCTGTAGTCCTGGACAGAGAGAGAAGCCGCCTGTATGTCGACAAGGACGGCATTCTGTATCGGAAGTCTGCAACCCGAAACCAGCTAGTATTACCCAAGAAGTTCCATCAGTTTATAAATAGGGAACTACACGAAGAAATGGGACACCTCGGGGTTGAACGAACACTAAACCTGATCCGAGACAGATTCTATTGGCCACACATGCAGAAAGATGTGGATCACTATGTTACCAGAGTATGCAGTTGCTTAAAACATAAACACCCACACAAACTAACACACACTAACACGTCAATATTGTCACCACTTATCCTTTCGATCTGGTGTCTATTGATTTTCTACACCTGGAACGCTGTGTCAGAGGATACGAGTACATATTGGTCATAATAGATCATTTTACTTGCTTCGCACAAGCGTATGCATGCACCAATAAATCAGCAAAAACCACAGCTGAAAAGATTTTTGGAGACTTTGTGCTGACGTTTGGATTCCCCACAAAACTCCATCATGATCAAGGCAAGGAGTTTGAGAACAAGTTGTTTGCCAAGGTGCAAGAATACAGTGGCATCCACGGTTCACGCACAACACCTTATCACCCTGCGGGCAACGGACAAGTAGAGAGGTTCAACCAAATGCTCCTCTCTATGCTCCGGAACCTGACTGAAGAGGCTAAGGCTGACTGGAAGAGCTCCCTCCCCAAAGTGGTCCATGCATACAACTGTACACACAGTGAGGCAACAGGGTTTGCACCATATTACCTCCTTTTTGGGAGAAATCCTCGACTCCCTGTAGACGTCATGTTTAGGGTTGCCACCTAGTGACAAGTGTGTGTTACATGATGAGTATGCTGACACGTGGAGACAGCGAATGGCAGAAGCTTATAAGCTGGCTTTGCAGACAGCTCAGCAGGAGCGTGATAAAACCAAAGAAAGGTATGATAGGAAGGTGCATGGAGCTGATTTACAACCAGGATACAGGGTGTTGATACACAACTTTGCTGAGAGAGGAGGCCCTGGGAAGCTCAGGCCTTACTGGGAGGAACAGTTTCATGTGGTAACTGAGAGAAAGCGTGAAGATGGTCCTGTGTATGTTGTACGACCAGAGAAAGGGTCCAGGTCAAACACGGGTTCTCCATCATAACCTCTTACTGCCCTGTGATTTCCTGCCAGTCAAGGAAAAAGAACCTGTGGAAGGCAGAGTAGAAGGCAAACAGAAGAAAAACAAAAGAAACCAGTGAAGAGCACGAAGTATGACAAAAGAGGGAAACAGGAAATAGCTGGGGATGTGACCAGTTCAGAGGATGAATTTGGCTGGGCAATTATTACCACAACACCAGTAATAACACCTGGCCAGGGTGAAAACAAGCAGAGTACAGAAGCTGTTGAAACCCAGCACATGCCCTCACCTCCTGGGGAGGAACCAGAGTTAAGCAGTCACCAAGAGTGTGAAGAATTTGATAATCCAAGCAGGGGGGAACAAGCCCACAAGTGTTAGAAGGCAGCTGATCCAGAATTGGTGGTAGAGCAAGAGGATGTTGCAGCAGAGCCGTGATGGTCTTCAGACGAAGCAGCTGATGAAGAGCCATGTGTACAGCCATGTTTCAGTGTTGAAATGTGCATTGTTTGTGCTTTCAGCTTGTGAAGATCGCAAGTAAACTCTTTAAAAATTCATGCGAATATGGAGGCTTCTCATTTCTCACGTGTGTAACACAAACATGGGTGCTGCTTTTCAGAGGACGGTTCTGGAAATTTTTTTCAGTCAAATGAAAGACGAGAAGTCATGCAGAAATTTCAATCATTCATAATCTGACAATGGATTATATAGGCCCTTCAGGACAAACACTATAAAGCTATGACTGTTTATATAGTAAAACCTTACCAAATATGGGTTTTCTAATATGATACCTAAAAAACAAAGCTAGCACATGTAGAATAACACCTAGAATATGCTAGAACATTCACCCTTCAGGAGTCACTTTACATTCAGGACAGAAGCCCTATTTGTAGAAGAAGATAATGATTCTATTTCAATAAAGGAACATCAACCACAGAGGCAGATGATGTCTTATTTATCTTCTCACGTAAACAGGAAATATCTGCGCCCTGTATGTTTCTTAAAAAAGAGTGATATGTCAGCGTGTCAGGTACTATGTCTTCTGCAGATCGCTTGCCAGAAAGTTAATGCTGATTGATTAAAGCTAATTACTTGATTAATACAAATATAGCTAATCTTATAATGAGGATATAAGATTTCTTTTTCACATTTCCACACCATCATATCCACACCATCATACAAACACAGTGTGTGGGAACAAGTGTGTGTGCTTGAACACTGGAAGCATCTTCGACAGAAAGGTCCGGGTGGGACTCAAATGGTCAATCAGTTTTGCGGTATGAATGCGTATAATAATCAAGTTCCATATTCTTGTTGCTGGGACCAGCCATACAGCGAGTCAGGCACAGCATTAACAGTTTCCACTGGCTCACAATCAACTTTCCATTTCATCCTAAAGGTGTTGAGTGGGGTTGAGGTCAGGGCCCTGTGCAGACCACTGGAGTTCCTCCACACCAAACTAGTCAAGCCATGTCTCTATGGAGCTCGCTTTGTGTACAGGGGCTCAGTCATGCTGGAACAGGAAACGCTCTTCCCCAAACTGCTAACACAAAGCTGGAAGCACATAACTATGTAAAATGTCTTTGTGTGCTGTAGCATTAACATCCCTCTTCACTGGAACTAAGGGTGCTGGGTGATGCTGTCTGACCGGATCTTTGAAGTTGAAGTATACCTATAATTGTTGCAGTGGCAATATGTGAACACTGGGGGGTCAGAAGTGGGGGACGGCTGGGGTTGGTGGTAATAGTTATTAACTCATAGTCAAGCTAGATTTAGATTAACTTTGTCTCACCAGGGGAAGTTTTTCTTGGGCAACCCAAGACTGCATATTATACAAGACCCACTAGACATGCACATGGACCAGACATACAACCTCACATTGATAAGGTATAAATAACATAACATGGAAAAAAGAGTCACACACTGAAATCTGTGCAAAAAACGTTCGACATTAAGGTTTTCACCCCTAATTCTGTTGCTAAAGGCCAAATAAGAGTTTGGTTTTACACTGTAATTGCTGTATAGCTATATTATATTCTAATAGTATAGGTTTAACTATATTGACAGTGAGTGGACACAGTGTTTAAAAACTCCAGCAGCACTGCTGTGTCCGATCCACTTGTACCAGCCCAACACACACTAACACACCACCACCACCTCAGTGTTACTGCAGTGCTGAGAATGATCCACCACCCAAATAGTACCTGCTCTGTGAGGGTCCATGGGGGTCCTGACCACTGAAGAACAGGGTAAAAGGGGGGCTAACAAAATATGCAGAGAAACAGATGGACTACAGTCTGTAATTGTAGAACTACAAAGTGCACCTATATAGTAAGTGGAGCTGATAAAATGGACAGTGAGCATAGAAACAAGGAGGTGGTCATAATGTTATGCCTGATCTATGTACAGTTGCTGAAAAGAAAATGAAGACAATGATTTACTTTTAAGCCTCTTAAAGCTGCAAACCAGATGTTTTCTTAAGTCAAAACTCAACATCATGGCACATTCTACTGGTCATTGCTTTTCTATATAGATTACACAATAATACCTGTCAATGGATAACCTTAAAGTAGCTGACCTCCCTAATAAGTAGAGCTGTTTGGATACTTTTGGACATACAAATTACTTCTTGATGTGGTTAACTAATTTTTATAATGATCTCTCTGTTATATAATATATAATATATAATGCTGCTCAGTAGCTGGTATACCAGATAACATTGCTCAAGGGCTGTGTTCACAAAAAAGAGCTCTAAAAGAAGAATCTATTTCAGCTCAATCTGGAATTTCCTTCCTCTTTTGGTTTTATGGGCTGGTATATAACCACAAGCTGTCTGACCGTACAGGACACAGCCCTGCGATTCACTGCTAAGAAGAACTCCAGCTCTGCATACTTAAACAGCCACTGAGAGACCTCCTTCACCAGGTATGTGTTAAAATCTCTTTCTGACTTTTTAAATTGCCAGGAAAATACAAGTCATATTTTAAGATGAACTACAGTGTTTGAGCTCATTATATATGCAGTGCTGCTTGAAAGTTTGTGAACCCTTTAGAATTTTCTATATTTCTGCATAAATTTGATGTAAAACTTCATCAGATTTACAGAAGTCATAAAAGTAGATAAAGAGAACCAAATTAAACAAATGAGACAGAAATATTAGACTTGGTCATTTATTTTTTGAGGAAAGTGATCCAATAATACATATCTGTGTGAGCCAAAAGTTTGTGAACCTTTGTTTTTGCTTCAGATCTTTCCACAACATTTCCGTAAGGTCAGGACTTTGCCTTGGCCATTCCAAAACATTAACTTCTTCTTTATCATTTGGCCATTCCAAAACATTAACTTCTTCTTTATCCATTCTTTTTGGTACAACCCCATTTCCAAAAAAGTTGGGACGCTGTGCAAAATGTAAATAAAAACAAAATGCAATGGTGTGCAACTCATTTAAACCCTATTTTTCATAGAAAATAGTACAAAGACAACAAATCAAATGTTGAAACTGAGAAATTTTATTGTTTTTTGAAAAAAATATATGCCCATTTTGAATTTGATGGCAACAACATGTCTCAAAAAAAATGTGACGGGGGCAACAAAAGGCTGGGAAAGTTGTGTAATGCTAAAAACAAAAAAATAATAAAAAGAGCATTCCAGAGAGGCTGAGTCTTTCAGAAGTAAAGATGAGGAGGGGTTCACCACTCTGTGAAAGACTGCATGATCAAATTCAACAATTCAAAAATAACATTTCTCAACATAAAATAGCAAAAAACTTTTGACTTTCATCATCTACGGTGCATAATATCATTAAAAGATTCAGAGAATCTGGAGAAATCTCTGCATGCAAGGGACAAGGCCAAAAACCGGTATACGTTGGCCATGATCTTTATGCCCTCCGGTGGCATCGCATTAAAAACAGACATGATTCTGCAGTGGAAATCACTGCATGGGCTCAGAAACACTTTAGAAAACCACTGTCTGTGAAAACAGTTTGTCGCTGCATCCATAAATGCAAGTTAAAACTCAAAAATGCAAAGAAGAAACCATATATAAACATGATGCAGAAACGCTGCCACCCTCTCTGGGCCTGAGCTCATTCAAAATGGACTGAGGGGAAGTGGAAAAGTGTCCTGTGGTCTGACAAATCAACATTTGAAATTGAAATTGGAAATCATGGACACTGCGTCCTCTGGGCTAAAGACGACTCAGCTTGTTATCAGTACACAGTTCAATAGCCAGTATTCATGATGGTATAGGGATACATTAGTGCACATGGCATGGGTGACGTGCACATCTGTGAAGGCACCATTAATGCTGAATGATACATACATGTTTTGGCAACATATACTGCCACCCAGACAGCATCTTTTTCAGGGAAGGTCTTGCTTATTTCAGCAATTTAGTGTCAAACCACATTCTGCATGTATTGCAACAGCATTGCTCTGTATTAAAAGAGTCCTGGTGCTAAATTGGCCTGCCTGCTATGGAGTTAGTTTTGTGCCAAAATGTTTGAGAGAAGATCCTGATGTTTGAGAGAGGAATGTTCCAGTTTGAGAGGACAGCGGTGCTCTGAGCGCGCAGCCAATGAACTTGAACGCACTTGTCAGCACGAAGTGCGCAGGTAAACGCCTCAGGATTTGCTCAGCAAAACACTCTGGTTTCAGTCAGAACTGGAAAACCTGCTCAATCATGCTCTTCACCTTCAAAACTCGCACGTGCATGCAAATCATTTCTGCTCTTAGCTCCGCAGCGCGCACTCAACTTTCAGATGTGCTCGCTGTATAATGTCTGAACATTTGTGTCAAAACAAATGCCAATCAGAGCTGCCGAGGGGCGGCTCCTGTCAGCGCACCAATCATGGCATCTTTTCTTAGTGCTTGTAGCCTCGACGTTAGTTCACTGTTAACTAGAACACTAATGGCACAGTATTTAAGAAATCCACAAATCCACAAATTACACAGAAGCTGTGAAGGATTAGATGGGAAAAAATTAGAAAGTGCCACTTTATTCATTCATTTTTCTCTGCCTACATAAAATATGGAAAACAGAAATAGAAAGAGAGAGAGGAGAGAATTAGAGAGTAAGAGGGAGAGAAAAAATAGAGAGAAAGAGAAAGTGGGGGGTTCGGAGAGAGAGAGAGAAAGAGACTGACTTGACAGTCCTTTATTTAAACAAAGTCTTTCTGTAAAACACTCAGCTGTCACACTGTCATCTTAAATTACTTTAAAACATAAATCAATAAGTATAATAAAATATCTCCTTATAAAAAGTAAAAGAAAAAAAAACAAAACTTTTGGCTCAGCTGACTTCAGGAGCAAAGCAGAGCTCGTCATCATACACCCAGCACACCGCCTCTCCACAGCACCACACTGTTTTAAAAGCCTCCACATCACACTTGCTCTTATAATAATTACGATCAATTAAAATCCTTGATCTAACCAGTCTAGAGAGAGTCCTCGTGGCATCACATCCAGTACTACGCCCCACCTTTATTTTTCGACAGACATATATCACTTTTTTTGCCTGTTTAAGGATGAAGTTGATCAGTTAGCACTTAGACTTTTCTCTTTTAACATACTTAAAGCCAAGGATAAAAGTCTGGAGTGTAAAAGTCACCCCCACATTGTAGTCTCTCACCTGCTCCCACTCCTCAGGAGGGAGGGCCGACCTCCAGCCCTGGAGGAGATGAGCTCTGGCTATGTCCCTTGTGACATTGAGTGTACTGCTGACAGAATCCTTTAATTTGTATTTTAGCTACATCCCACCATTGTTAAAAAGCTGTTTTCTGTAAGTTAAAAACATCTCAAAAAAGTAAAAGACTCTCTAAAATTAGCAGTGCAGTGTTGAAATGCCAGTGTGCATGCTGTGCTTTAATGTGACACAACCAAGATGGCTGCAAGATGGATTCTGTTTGGAAAGCATGCATAAACCTTTCTATTCATTACTCTGATACCAAAGAAGAACTTTGAGGGAGATTCCATTTCCATCACACACTGAAAATGTGAGCTACAAAGGTTCTGTAACTGTGTTTTGGTAATTCAATATAATTCTGTGTTCATGGTCTTTGAAAGCCTTGTCTGAGCCACTCCCAGACACCCCACTTACACTGTCCTAGAAACGACACTCCATGCAGCATAGAAAACTTAGGCCAATAATTCTGAATGTGAATAAATGCCAAACTGTCTAACAACATTACCCAAACTATATGAACTGCTGTCTCTGAATAGCACAAAACAGTGTTGAAGATTGTACTCTGTTAAGTTAACCGGTGGGAAAAAATGAAAAGAAAAACAAAAAAGCACAAATTATTTAAAGATGCTATATATATATATATCTATCTTACTGAAGAAGGACACACAGTGTCATTAGCTGGGTTTCCATGCACATATTATTGTGCGCATTTTGGCACATAGAAAACAAAATGGCTTCATGGAGACAGCAAATTGTTGAATTCAATTTTCGAGAAAGCATAGAAGTTTGTACACTTTTTTTGTGCAGGCTAAATTTCTTAAAGTGGAAAAACAAACATTCTTAACCTGTTGTACAAAATATATGTTTTCACATTTTATAAGCAACTAGTAATAGGACTGTGTCAGAGGTGTGTAGAGCAACCTTAACCCATACTCAGGTAAACATATAACTATAACGCACAAAGTTACGTCAATGAAATAATGACTCAACCAGAAGCCTAGCCTAGCAAAACATAGCTTCAGTAGTAGGAGTAAAAGGTATCAGAATAATTCAATGAGAATTTCCTAAAGCATTAAGAACTTCTAAAAGTGTAACTGAGTATTAACTGCAGACCTGAAACTGAATTGGTGCTATTTTCTTTTTAAGATAGTTTCGGTCCAAAATAAAGCAAAACAGGAGCCAAACCTACACCAACAGAATGAAAACCAGAATTAAGATTTCAATATAAAGTGGAGCTGAGTAAAAAGTGGGTCATTTTATTCACACATATAAGCTACAATAGTTGAGTAACTGTCATTTGAATTTACTCAAAGAATTATAAATCCTTTTGTATTCACTTTTTAGGTACATGCAGCTGAACAAATGTAATTAACACTCCTACTGTGACTAAAGCTAACTGGCTAAGCTTTGAACAGTTGACTAGATAGCAAAGCTAGCAGCACAGATAGAGAGGGAATTTTCTAATTCAGTTATTCTCAAAGGGAATTTTTTCAGCATGAGCAAAACCTGTATTAATGTAAATACCGCCAACCTTCGTACTCGGTTTAAGGAAGCTGCATCTGACTTCGTGCTAGCTAGGCTAGTTAACAAACTTAGCTTACTTTAAGCTGGGACACTTGGAAGCAGTGCTAGCAAAACCAACCGCAGTACAGCAAGTTTAGAGTTTTATCAACATGCAAAACAGCTGGATAGACAGTCAGTACAGTCACATTAAGCTGTACTTCATTTTAAGATAAGCTACCATTAAAGTCCTTCGTCTTGAGCAGTCTGCTGCAATGTGGGAGCAGAAAACAGGAATTCCCTCACAGCACTGTTTGACTTCTGCAGTGGTAGATCGTGAGACCACAGACAGTTCACTTAAAAAAAAACTGTGAGGTTTACTTACATTTAACTGAATGTCAGTTTCACTCATGACTAATTTTTCATTTTCGGTTTCCATTGTGTTTTTATCATATTGCACATGCTACTAAAGTTTAGATAAAGCTAAAATATTTCCAGTAGGAGCTACTGAGTTTGATGAGTGATGCTTAGTGAGCCAACACAAATTCACTGATAATCCGTAAAGAATATAGAAATTATTATTGTTGATCAAGATGAGTTGGATCAAGTGTGTTGGGAGCAGGCAGGGATGGGGGAAAAGCTAAGTAGAGTGCTACTTTTTGTAGTTAACTACATTTTTTTGTGGGTAGTAGCTGTAGCCGCTACAATTTTATGAAATGTAGCTAAAAGCTGTAGCGCCT